TATATATATATTTATATATAAATTTACATATACACACACTTGTATGTATATAAAATATGTGTAATTAACATATATTATAAATATATGTTATTCTTATCCTTTTCTTCCTAAACTATTTGAGGCCAAGTTGCAGTTATGATGCTCCTTTACCCGTAAATACTTCAGTGTGTATTTCCTAAGAATGAGAAAATTTTCCTATATAGCCATCAGTTTTCAAAATCAGGCAGTTAACACTGTTGTCTAATCCACAGTCTATATTCAGATGTCAACTAATAATGTGATTTAATGGCAACTTTTCTTTTTCCATTCCAGGATCCAATCCAGGATCACATGCTCCTTTAGTTGACACATTCTTTTAGTCTCCTTTAATCAGGAGCAGTTCCTCAGTCTTTGTCTTTCATGAAGTCAACATTTTTGTGGAGTATAGGTCAGTTATTTTGTAAAGTGTCACTCAATATGGTTTTGTCTGATGTTTCCTCGTGAGTAGATTCACGAATGTATTGAGGCGGGAGTACTACAGAAGGAATGTCGTGTCCTTCACGGTGCATCCTATCAGGAGGCATATAATGTCTCATTACTGGTGAGGTTAACTGATGACTTGATTAAGGTGACGACTGCCAGGTTTCTTCAGGGTAAAGCTACTGTTTTTCCTTAATTATTAAATATTGTTGGGGGGCGGTATTTAAATACTACGTAACTTTTTCTCATCTAACTTTTATGAATGGTTTTAGCATCCATTGATGCCAGTGTCTCATTTAACGGTGCAGGAAGTGATTTACCCAGACCTAGATGGTCACAGAGAGCCAGGGCCAGGACTCAGGCCTCTGGTCTCCTGGGCTAGCATATTTGCCACACCCCCATTCAGCTGGAGCCCCGGAGTCATGGAGACCAGGCAAAGGCTGGGTTAATCAAGCCCAGGAAATTTAGTGTACTCTCTTAGACAAGAGAGTGGGATTAACTGCCCAGCCTGCCGGGCTCCAGGCCTTTCTTGCCAACTGACTTCCTAGTCAGTAATTCACTTCTTTCAGAGAACGCTCTTTTCCTTTTCAGATCCTCTTGTGGATTCCCTTATAATGTAAAAAAAGCAGGACAGTGAATATGTAAATAATGAAGTGTGTGTCTTATAATTATGGATTAGAGTGAGAAATATTCTGCCACCCAAATCAAACCACTATTAACATTTTATTGTATTTCGTACTGAAAGGCTTTCTACACATACATTTTTAAGTAATGGATTATGCTTTTTTTTCAGTTTTTAAAAAAATTGAGATATAACTTGCATACAGAACAGCATTTAGCTTAATGAATTTTCCCATATTTAGACACTCATGTAACCACTACCCAGATAAATACTTTTTGACTTACTGGTATAACTTGACTAATACATTTTTTAAGCAAAGTAGTATCTGTATTTTATTTAAATCCAGGAAAATCACTTTTTATTTCTCCTGTAGAATCAGCAGGAATCTTCAGTAGCTTATCTTAACACCATTAAGACAGATTTGTTATTATATCTTGTGGACAGAATATTCCTTAACAAGAGGCACATAGGCAAGGGCTATAAGGGAACTTGCTGGGGTGATGGAAACGTTCCATGTCCTAATTGTGTGGTAGTTACATGGGTAAATTTGTCAAAACTCATTGAACTGTACACTTAAAATAGACTCATTTATTATATTTCATTATATTCATTATACTCATTTATTATACTGAGGTAAATTATACCTCAGTAAGAAAAATAATTTTTAAAAAGCACGGTAAGCTCACTGTTCAGTCTCTTTCATTACCGATGTGATAAATTTCACTTTCACACTAACAATACTTTATGACTTATACTGTATGACCTATACAGCCTTTCAAAGTATTTGAAACAAGATAAAGGATATTTGTTGTCTGCTAAGAGAAAAGTAAAATGTTAAATGATTCAGCATTTTAGTGTTAGGAATTTTTCTATATTCAGACTATGATAGAGAATATTTCCAGCACTCTAGAATTATTTCCTTCTACAAAAGGTGATATGTTAGTAGATTAGTGAGAACGAGCTTTCATAAAACAAAGCTAGGTATTTATTTTGAAACAATTTTTCTAAAAAATTAAGACACTATTAAAGCTAATGTCTTCTGCNTGGGCTTTCATAAAACAAAGCTAGGTAAATGTATTTATTTTGAAACAATTTTTCTAAAAAATTAAGACACTATTAAAGCTAATGTCTTCTGCTAATTATGGTATTAATTGGAAGCTATTCATTGTCCTTAAAAGGAGAAATTCATAATTTTATTCATATTCTTTCATAAGTTCAGGTGGGGTTTTTCTCAAATTTCTTCTGCTAAGAGAATCTCTTATTTTTTCTTACTAATTTAAATCGAACAGCTCTTCATCAACACTATCGCAATATATAACTAAAGCAAACAACAGTTTTTATCAACATTGTTAAGATATTGTATGTAACTCTTCCTTCCTAGCTTTTTAATAATTTAGTATGTCAAGACATCAACCTTAAAGCTGAGGTAGTTTGGCCTAGTGAACCGGCTATGTTATTAACTTTTGGTGTATCTAAAGTGTTTTTCTAAGAAAGTTTACCTCCAGTTATCCAATTATGATGGGTATTACCTCAGGTGGAAGATGATAATATTACAGAGATTTCACTTTCAGTGCTGAGCTCAGTAGGACAGCAAGCTTAGTATTTAGGGATACTGAAGACCTTCGACACTCATGTGATAGCTGAAATAGGTCATTTTTAATTTCTTGTGCTTACTTGACATGTACAAGTATATATATAATTAAATAAAAGTTACTTTTCCAGTTATTTTATGTGGCCAGTTTTTTCCCAACCTCTTCTGCTAAATTTTCTTTGGACTCAGAACTCACCATCTGTGTAAGAATAGGGCAGTCATTGATAACTGTTTAGAGGGATTATTTATGACTATGAAAAGGAATCTTAGTGAGAGTCATTTTCTAGGTTTGTTTTTACAGGAGAGGACACCAAGATAATTGGTGTGAATATCACTAGACTCAGGAAAAACTTATATATCCCATAGAGGAGAGATGTGAGTGTAGTTGCTCCGTTTTAGAGGATGACCCCCTGAAGCATTTCCCAGTGGACAAAGCCTGGAAATCAGCTGTGGGGTTGATGAAGTTTCAGTTGTCAGCCATCAGGGCCACAAGCTCAAGAATGCTAATCATAAGACAAGCACTTTTTCCACAGTGGTGAGATGGTTTTCTTGCCCTGAAAAGATGTAAGTCAGTTCTGGTGGACCCTGGACATAGGTTTTGTCTCCTATTGTCTTTACTTTCCTTTTTCCCTTCCTTTCTCTTTTATTGAGGTATAAAATACATACAGCAAAATATACAAGTCTTAAATGTGCAACTTGATGAATCTTTAAGGATGTATATACTCATATAACCACCACTCAAATCAACATTTCCGTCATCTTAGGACTGGAGTTGGCAAACAGTGGTCCATGAGCCAGATCGGGCCCGTTTGGGGGATGAAAGTTTTATTGGAACACAGCCACACTCATTTGTTTACATATTATTGTCTGTGGCTGCTTTCACACCATGACAACAGAATTGAATAGTTGTGACAAACACCATGTGACCCACAAAGGCTAAATATTTACTATCTTGCCCTTTAAAGAAAAAGTTTGCTGACCCCTATCCTAGACAACTCCTTCCTGTCCTATCTCAGCCCATATCTGCCTTCTTCCACTGTTCTGACTCTGTCACCAGTTCTAGAACTTTATAGAAATGGAATTATATAGTATGTTCTCCCTATGTTTGACTTCTTTCATATGGCGTGATGTCAGTGAGATATCAGCAATTCATTCCTTTTTATTTTTGAATAGTATTCCATCTTATGAATGCATCACAATTTATCCAGCTCCCCTGGCAGTTTCTAGTTTCGGGTTACTGTGGTCAAGGCTGCTATGAAAGTTCTTTTACAAGTCTTTGTGTGAACAATATACATTTATTTCTCTGGTATATATCCAGCAGTGGAGCCACTAGGACATAGACAACTAAGTTTTATTAGCTGTGGCCAAACAGTTTCCACAGTGGTTGAACCAGTTTGCATTCCCACCAACCATGTGTGAGGGCTCCTGTTGATCCTGGATGTGGATTTTCACTTCCATCCTATAGATTATGGCACAGTGTATTCAAACCTTCACACCTGTGAGCGAAAAACTTGAACATTCTTTATTAATGTTTTTACCAATTTAGTTGCATATTTTCTAATACATGGATATTTTGGAAATAGGGAGCCCCCATGTTATAGAAGTCATCTAATTATAGTACCAGTTATTTTAAGAGAAACGAAAATTTAATATTGTGATTTTTTAATATCACTACAAATTTATAGTTTCTACAAGCTAAAATTTTGTGGACATATGCATTCATTTAGAACTACTGAGCCATAAGTTATTCATATGTTTAGCTTCAGTAGATATGGCCAGATTTTTCTTAACACTCTTCCTTGCATGATTGGAGTCCCTTGAGGCTGGCTCCTGTGCCCCCTCCCAGGACCCATCAGCTGAAGAAGTGTCCTTGCTTTCTGATACTGTCAAGATTGCTGAGGTACATCTTGTATTCTTTGCTCCATATAGGGACTCAGCCATTTTCCAAGGAGCACCAGTTCTTTTTAGTGAAAATTAGTGGTAGAGATCATAATCTGGGCATGAGCAGGGGACAGTAGACTTTTCCAGTTGGTGTGACATCACCCCAGGTCAATTCAGTGAGAACAGCCACAAAAGACATAATTTTAAAAATGTGTTATCCCATTGATAATTTTAATACAGTTCTAACATTAAACATTCAAGTACATCACAAAGTATTTATTTATACTCTCAAACTATGATTTACCTTTTTTCTTTTATAATTTGTTAAGCCATATAGTTATTTCTTAAATGTCTTGAAGAAAAGTGTTACCAGACCAGATTCTTTGACTCCAAGTGTAATAGAAATTAACACAGAGTCAATCAGTCCCTGCAAGCAAGGCTTTATGAGAGCTTATGCGTGGGCACAAGGGAGACAGCAAAGAAAGGAGGGTCCTTCAGCTGGCTCCCTAACGGGGAGGGTGGAGAGAATCTTAAAGGGGCTTAGGAGGGAAAGGGGTGAGGTCTAAGCATGTGTAGGTGGGGATTTGTTGGCGCTTGTGCACTTGGAGGTCATGCTTCTTCATGCATAGCATGTCTCGTTAGTATGTTAAATCTCCACCTCTGGGCGTGATTTTTAGTATTATAATGAAGGAAAAGGTCAGTGAAAGGTCAGCACTGGAGTCCATCTTGGCACAGGCTGGTTAGGTCTCATTCTCACAGCTGGGTCTTCTCATTTGGGTAAACATCCTGCTCCCGCTTTCCTGCAAGTTACTGCTTGAGAGATAATATGGCTTAGCCTTCCCCTTATCTTTGATTCCTGTGGTTGGGAAACTATTTGTCTCAGCCCTTTGTAGTTAAAATTGAGGGGCCCCAGTCCAGTCCCTATTCTGTCTCAAAACTAACATAGTTGTTTTCATCTGTTGAAAATTATTTTTTAATAACACTTAATCTCCTGGATGGATAACAAGGTTTAGCCTTTTAGTAATTATTTTGACCATAGTTTGAGTATATTTTACTAATGTTATACAGTTATTTTACTTTACTTTGAGTTATTTGTAATATATTCATAACAGTTATGGAAGCCCTTACCCAGTACACACTGTATTTGGGTCCAATTATTTAAGTTTTCAGAGTGTTTGTTTTTTAAAACTTTCAGTTATTCCTTGGTAAGCTTTTATTTCCTAGAAGGTCTGTCTTATGTATCCATGATCTGAGTTGAATGGTACCGTTTTTTCTTCTACCACAGTGACTGAAAGCATGGATTTTTATACAGGATTTACACAAAGAATTTGCAAATTCCAAGACAGGCCAGGTCTCACAGCTCTGTACTCTGTTCTCTCTTTCTCCATTCTCCTACCCCCAACCTCTCCCTTCACAGGTCTCAGCTCTTTTTTCATGAACAGCAGAAAATGATCCAGTACCAGGTAAGTATGACATTAAATAGCTCAATTTCCTTTGTTGGGGAAACTGTCCTAGAAAAAAAGTATGCATTGTAAACATTTGCCCTTTGTCATAGGCTAGATTCTCAAGAAAACAGACTCAGAGATGGAGATTTTTACACAGGAGGTTTACTAGGGAGGCTCTTGGAGCACCTGTAAGGCAGGGAAAGAAGCAGGATTGGGCAAAGGAAGTTGTTGAACAGAGGTCTCAGCTAATCTTATAAAATACTCTGAAGCTGGGGTAGCCTCAGTGCTGTCCTGAATGGAGGCTACGGCGCTTTTGTGTTCTGAAGTCAGTCATTGATTATAGGCTGCCCCGGAGACAGGAGATAACCCTGGGAGGGGCAGCTCCCTTTGGCCAAGGTCAATTCATAAAAATGTTTCAAACCTGCAGCAGCCAGTTCTTCAGGGGGTTTTGGGTAGCCTCCTTTCTACACACAGATACGATGATAAGACATATACATACTGCTGTACCCAACATATTAGTACTTAGAACCACACCATTTTTTAAAAATTAGTTTAATGCTCTACTGTATGCATGAAATATGACTGATTTAACCAGTCCCCATTTTATGGACATTCACGCAGTTACCAGACTTCATATTAAAAGCAATGAAGCAAGAATATTCAGAGTCCAGTACAGAGTCCAACAAGAGTCAGTAGCTGTGATCTTCCTGGTAGCCTAACAAAAAGGCAAATACAGTAAGCCCATGATTTGCATTGTCCATAACATAAGAAGCATATTGTTATCTCCAGGGGAAAACTACCTTTACAAGGTACTTCTTTTTGAGGACATTTCCCTGAGGGGCTTTGTTACGGCTGAGGTAGAGCAGCACTGCTGCTAACAGTGTGGTCCCAGGACATGGGCATCTCCCGGGAGCCTGTTAGAAATATGCATTGGCAGGGGCTGGCCCATGGCTCACTCGGGAGAGTGTGGTGCTGATAACACCAAGGCCACAGGTTCAGATCCTATATAGGGATGGCCGGTTGGCTCACTTGGGAGAGCGTGGTGCTGACAACACCAAGCCAAGGGTTGAGATCCCCTTACCGGTCATCTTTTTAAAAAATTTAAAAAAAAAAAGAAATATACATTGGCAGGCCCCACCCCACACCTGCTGGAATCTGTGTTTAAAAGAAAGGGAAAGCAATTCTAAAGGACACACAAAAAAAAGGGGGACCCAAAAAAAGGGGCGATCCTTATGCACACAAAAGTATGAGAAGTACTGACATAGTGGACAAAGTTCTTAACAATAACTGATAAGCGCAGAAGCAGGTTTTCTACAGTGGTTCCCCAGTGCTTCAAAAAAGGGGGACCCAAAAAAAGGGGCGATCCTTATGCACACAAAAGTATGAGAAGTACTGACATAGTGGACGAAGTTCTTAACAATAACTGATAAGCGCAGAAGCAGGTTTTCTACAGTGGTTCCCCAGTGCTTGCTTTGGAGCAGAGTATTAATTAGCACCAAGGCAAAACTCCCAGTTCTTCAGGTTACCAAAACCATCGGATCCCAGCTCCCTATGATATGATAGTGTTTTCTATTGGTGTCAAAGTCATTGGAAGTTCTAACTCCTCTGTGGTCTGTGATCCACGTATGTAATAGAAGGAAATGCCAGATTTCAGATAGAGGAAAGTGAAAATACAATTGATTTCTTTTGCTAGAATTGGGAGGATTCCTTCAAGTTTACCAAAGTCTTGAATTTGATCTAAGGTATCTTTTTCTCTCTCTTATACCCAGTCACCAAGTCATGCTGATTTTACACTTTGGTGATTATTGCATTTTTCCCCTTTTTATCCCTGTATTTTGTGAAAATGGCCTGGTCTCCTAGCTGCAGGATTGTATCTTTTCCTGGGAAATATTGACCTAGAGCCTGTCACTGTGCCCTGTGATAAAGGCTGCCTGCTGCTTTCTCACTACCACAGTGAGTTTTTCTGGCATCAGAGAGGGTATTTGGTGGGCACTTCCTCTGTGCTGTGGCCTCTGTTTAGGTCTTAGGGTGTCATGTGCCAGCATCCACAATCCCTTCTCTGCTTCTGGTCCTGCCTTCAGGTCCATCTGCTCTGAGAACCTTTTCAGTGCTTCTTTCCTTTGGCTGCTCCCACAGGTGGTAGCCTGGTGACCCTGGCACTTTGCACTAGAGCAATCTACCCCACTAATGCCTGGGGCACAGAGAGTGGGTTCCCTTTTTTTGTGTGTCCTTTATAATTGTTTTCCCTTTCTTAAAGATTTTAAAATACTGATTTACATTATTTTTCTACTTAAAATAAGCACATTTATATGATGTTGTTATGTGCCAGGCACCGTTTAAAGTCTTTACATGTATTAATTAATTTAAACCTCATAATAACAAAGAGACACACACTATTATTATCTCCACTTAACACATGAAGATACTAAGGTACAGAAGGGTTAAGTATCTTTCTCACGGTCACTCAGAGGCTGAGCCAGTATTTGAACTCAGGCAGTCCAGCCCCAATCTGCTGCGTTGCCTCTCATGTATATGGTTACTCTAGTTAGGGAGCAGCCCACAAAACCACTCTTGCTTCTACACCAATTGCAAATTTGAGGGTTCTCAAGACAACCCTGAGGTTTGATAATTCACTAGAAGGACTCATGGAACTCACTGAAATCTATTATATTCACTGTTGCAGTTACAGCAAAAGGATACAGATTAAAATCAGCCAAGCAAAGAGACACATGAAGCAGAGTCCAGGAGAGTCCACACACAGAACTTCCAGTTGTCCTCTCCTAGTTGAGTTCCAGACAGTGTTCAGTTCTCCCAGCAATGATGTGTGACAATACACACAGAGTATTGCCAACAAGGGAAGCTCAGGTAAGCCTTGGTATCTAGAGTTTTTATTGTGGGCAAGGGGAGGGAGGATTGGTCATGTAGACATGGTTGACTGCTCCCGTGGTTGGCTTCAGTCTTCAGCCCCTCCACGAGGTTGGGCTGATGCCTGTGACCCAAAGACCCTGTCATAAATCACATTAGTAGACTATCTGGTATGGCCCAAGATTAACAAAGACACTCTTATCAGGAAGGACATTCCAAGGGCTTAGAGATTACTTCCCAGGAGTTGAGGGCAAAGACCAGACCTCTCTTTTGGCAAGGTTAGAGTCTTCACTACACAGTCACTTAAAGTTATGTTAGGTATCTTCTTAGTACCTGTGGGTCTCCCTCAGCAGCTGTCCTGCTCCTTTCCAGTACTTATGCTGGGACCTCCAGGGCAATGGGCTCTTCAGAGAACTTTTGTTCTCTGTGCCCCAAACCAGAGGCCTGCCTATGGCCAGTATCATATGAGGCTTGCCAAGTGGCCAAGCCTCCTTCCTCCCAGACTATGCTATTCCTCCTCTGGGTCCCCTGCTAAACTCTTCTCCTTCTGGCTTCTTAAATATTACTGTCCCTTGAGGTTCTGGCCTGGGCATCCTGCTCATCCTGTATTTGCAGAGTGACCCCACTAATATGCTGGTGGCTCACACAGCTTTAGCTCCATTCCTGATCTTGCTCCTGACACACAATCCACATGTCCATTCCACTGCCTGCCAAGAGATTCCACCCATGTGTCCGCCTGACATGTCCAATATACCACATCCTCTTTGCTCCTCCTGTTTTCTTCATCTCTAGTATAGCACCACCATCACCCAGTTGCCTTTGAGACCTGGGTGGAGAATGAAGGGAAGAGCCCCTTCCGTCTCCACCTCACGCAACAAGGTAAGGTACAGGTTCTGCTCTTCTTTACAATGTTCTTTCTTTATCTCACTGTTACTGTCCTACCTGTGAACATCATCTCTTACCCAGGTTATTACAGAGTCTCTCCTCTTACTTTCCCTCAGGTCACCCACCATGCTTCTCTTTCCAGTCCATTTATTTTCAAACTCACTATTTGTGAGTTCATAGTTAAACTGCATCTCCTATAGGCAGCACTGCTATTTTTAATCCAGTCTGACAATCTGCCTTTTTGCAGTGTTTAGTCTTACATTAAATTACATTTAGTGTAATTATTGGTATGCTTGGATTTATATCTCCTGTTTTAGTATATGTTTTCTGTTTGTCCCACCTGCTGTTGTTTCTCTATTTATTCGTTTCTCTCCTTTTTTGTGTATTTGTGTGGATTAGTTATTTTTTAGAATTCTGTTTATTTTATTTACTTCAGGTGCATCTTTTTGCATTACGATTTTGGTGGTTACTCTAGAGACACGATCTAGAGTTACCATTACACCACTTCACAGAGAATGCAGAAGCTCACCTCATGCCTCCTAGACTGTGCTTTCTGCACACACTTCTCCCTTGGTCGATTTTTCCATTGTCTTAAAGTCCCTCATCTCATCGCTCATGGGCCTCTGTATACTTTACTCTTGCTACTGAGTAACTTGCTGACTTAAAATCACTCTTTTGCCTCCATGCTTTTGTTCACTCTGCTACCCTGCAAGGAATGACTTCCTGCAGAGGTGACTTAGCTTCACATACCCCTGAGTTCTAAAACCTAACCAGACCCTGAAAAAATTAACGGACCATTCGCTTCTCTGCATGCCGTAGCCTAGATGTCCTGCCATCACAGCTCTTGTGACACTTTCACCCTGATGGCTTTACATGTTGCTCTTCCTGTGCCAGACAATGAGCTCCTTGAGGTTAGGAACCATCCATAACTTTGTCCCCAGGAACCAGCACTGGGCCAGATACACAGTGGGTCTTCAGTCAGTGTTTATAGCTTAAAGTATGAATGACAATGTGTGTGGCTTCCAACAGGATTTTCATTTTTCCTGTCCCGACCCGCAGGATATTCAACGAGGACCCTGGAGGGGGGAGTGGGAATTGGATGGGACAAGAGACACGAGAAATGAAGACAAGACAGTATTCTGATCAAGTATCGTTTATTGATTCTTAGGTTACATCTTATATAGGAAAAAATTTTCATTTTTCCTGTCCCGACCCGCAGGATATTCAACGAGGACCCTGGAGGGGGGAGTGGGAATTGGCTGGGACAAGAGACACGAGAAATGAAGACAAGACAGTATTCTGATCAAGTATCGTTTATTGATTCTTAGGTTACATCTTATATAGGAAAAAGCAGGCATGCTGCAAAGGGTCTGGAATGTAAAGATATGATAATATCTTGAGGAGAGACAAAGACAGGACATTCAAAGTAAAGGTTGCCACCCAGAATGTTTATGGTTAAACAGTTTCTGGAGAAGGATAAAAGGTCACTTGCAAATTAACTTGCATAGCCAGGAGCAATCAGTTTCTGGCATAAGCAGATTTTGAGGCAGTTATCATGTAAAGCACGGCCATCTGAACAGATTGTCACGTAGGCCTGGTCACACAAGAAGGGGTGTGGGGCTTCAGGCCCCCAATATTTTCCCACAAGGCCAGGAATGTAAAAGGCATCCTAGATAGATAAATGATCATGGTAAACTATGACCTATAAACATTATAAAAATCAGTACCATCTAACCCTGCCAACATTTTTTCCACATGATTCAATGTCATTTCAGCTTCAGCAGAGACCTGTGTCATTCAAAGATGTGGTTGTGGGCTTTACCCAAGAGGAGTGGCACCGGCTGAATCCTGTTCAGAGGGCCCTGTACCGTGATGTGATGCTGGAGACCTACAGCAACCTTGTCTCAGTGGGTAAGACCAGCTTCACCATACAATTCGGATTATGCTTGACTGACCACCTTTTGTTTCTCAGTTGCTAAAAGCAACTGACGTACCTACAGCCTCTGAAGTACTTAATTTATTTAATAATTATCTAGCACTTTCTATGTGCTAGACTCTGTTTTAGCCACTTTTAAAATATAATTCATTTAATCCTCATAAAAACCTTATGAGTTAGGTACTATTAGTACCGCTATTTTACACATTTGGAAATTGAGGCACAGAGAGGTGAAGTCACCTGCCCAGAGGCACCCACTCCAGCATACCAGCTGCACAGAATGCATTCCAACCCTTACGCTGTGCTGCATCACTGGGTTTGGTTTGAGTTTCAGTGATCCTGGATTACTAACTCCATTTAGTTCTGGATGAGGTGTGTGTACAGTTCCCTCCCATTAAAGCTGCCTGAAAGGCCCTGAAAACTAAGGAGCTCAGCCCAAGGTCCAGATTATTTCCCTGTTACAGGTTATGAAGGCACCAAACCAGATGTGATACTCAGGCTGGAGCAGGAAGAAGCTCCGTGGATTTGTGAGGTGGCTTGCCCAGGCTGCCACTGTCGGGGTAAGTGTGATAAATCCAGCAAAAGGGGTACTGTGAGAGGTTGGCACCTTTGAAGTTTTGTTCAGACTCCTGCTCTAAAAAGCCTTGACATTTCTCTGAGAGCTTCAGCCTTCCTGATGATCCTTCATCCTCCATGCATCCCACCTCCCATATCTGGTGTTCCTACTGCCTCTACTTTAAATCTCACCTCTGCCCTTAGGTGCTTGGTCTGTCTCCCTTTCTCCAGAATCTTTGGTGTCTCTCTTGAGGTTATTAGTACACCTTCTTTCTCACATCCAGATATTCTTTCTTCTATGATTCTGTCATGTCTGCTGGTCCCTTCCTATTCTCTATTCTAACACTTCCCAGGTAAAATGCATCAGACCTGCCTACCATATTCAGTCTCACTACCCATCATTTCCTTAATCCCTACATTCAAATTTAAGTCATCCCCATAGACAGAAGACTATGGGATCACAGAGGAGGAAGCAGTGAACTCCACATGGGGTGGAAAGGTGACGAGGGATGGCTGGGTGGTGAAGGAGCTGGACTCATCTAAACCCCTTCTAATTAATACTCAGAATAACTGCTCTTCTCCCATCAACTCTGTAAAATATCCCAACCATCTCAACAATACCCATGGTATCCTGAGTGTTGGTGGCCTCCGCAAGAGTTGTGGGCTTAACAAGAGTCAGTGCCATCTGTTCCCAGATCTCTTTATTCCACTTATATTTTGGTGTTGTGATCACATAACTGAATTAAATATTTAAGTCATTTAAACCAAAAAACATTTAAGTCATTTTTCTTGCTTCTCAGCAAAATGATGCCTTTGAAATGACTACCATCCAGCTTTCAGTGGCTGAAGTATTAGCAGCATCATTAGAACTATCAGTTAACACTCAGTGTCTGCTCACTGTGTGCCGTGGTCTGTTCTGAACACTTTACATGTGTTGACTAAATTAACCACTACAACACCTGTCAGGTAGTCAGCTTTTATTTTATTGGAACACAACCACACACCTTTATTTTTATATATTATCTTTGTTTTCATGCTATAATGGGAGAGTTCTGTTATTGTGACAGAAACCATATGGCCCACAAAGCTTAAAGTATTTACTCTCCGGCCATTTAAGAACAAGTTTGCCAACCCCTGCTCTGTATCATCCCATCTTCAAAATTATTTCTGTCTATGCTGTATTAGATATATTGCATTCCAACTCGTGCCACTGTTCTGAATCTTTTCTACTCATACAACACTCTTCCCTGCAATGGTGCTTTTGGTTATGGCTCCATGCTCTATTCAACCTTTAAATTTTGAGGGCATTTCTCAAGTAGTTGTATTCCAGATCATACTAGTATAAAGATTCATAAGGAGTGATTCACTGTACTTTCTCCAGAAAACATCTGGCAAGTTAATGTCCAGAGTAAAAGACAGCAAGACATGCTTTTGACGCAAGGTACATCCCTCAGCAAGAAAACATTGCCCAAGGAAAAAAGCCATGAACACAAGTTTGGGAAAATATCACTTCTGAGCACTGATATTTTTCCTTCAATTCAAAATCCCAGTAACTGGGACTCTGGTGGAAAGAGTTTGAACCCTAATTTAGACTTGACTGGTTTTAAGAGAAACTGTGCAAAAAAGCAAAATGAGTGTTATGGTTATGGGAAATTGTTACAGCATACAAACCATGATAGAAGACCTAATGGAGGAAAACCTTGGGGTTGCAGTCACTGTGAAAAAACTTTCAGCCATAACCCAGCACTTATGTATAAACCAGCGGTACCCAGTTCTCTTGTGTACAAACGGAAGAGGGTTCCACCTACAGAGAAACCCCACATCTGTAGTGAATGTGGGAAAGCCTTCTGCTACAAGTCTGAATTCATTAGGCATCAGAGAAGTCACACTGGGGAGAAGCCTTATGGATGCACTGACTGTGGGAAAGCCTTTTCACATAAGTCAACCCTCATTAAACACCAGAGAATTCACACTGGGGTAAGACCCTTTGAATGTTTTTTTTGTGGGAAAGCCTTCACCCAGAAGTCACACCGCACAGAACATCAGAGAACACATACAGGAGAGAGACCCTTTGTGTGCAGTGAATGTGGGAAGTCATTTGGCGAGAAGTCATACCTCAATGTACATCGAAAAATGCACACAGGAGAAAGACCCTATCGTTGCAGAGAATGTGGAAAATCCTTCAGCCAGAAATCATGCCTCAATAAACACTGGAGAACTCATACAGGAGAAAAACCCTATGGATGCAATGAATGTGGCAAAGCTTTCTACCAGAAGCCAAACCTCAGTAGACACCAGAAAATTCATGCTAGGAAGAATGCCTACAGGAATGAAAATCTAATAATTGTAGAAAAGCCTTGAGCAAGATACCCAGTTTTCATTGTGTATAGGGGAATTCAACCTTAGGAGAAATCTTATCTATTTAATGAATTTGGACAAAGTGTTTGCTCCAATGGTGATGCAAACTTTTTAAAGAAAAGATTATAGAAGATATAAGACATAAACATGGTCACTCTGTCATATGGTTAAAATGTATTAAAAGAATGACAACATAATACGAAATATATGTGAAGAGACTTAAAGGTATACTATGACACTTTGTTCTTCCACAGTGAGCCACATAATAAGCACTTTTTTATTTTGGAGTTATAAATATGAATTTAACAGAAATTGTGAATATCAAACAGTATATAGAATGCCATTCACCAGACTTTTCCACTCTAAATATTACCATTGTCTTTTGATGTTTTAACAATACAAAAAATATTAATATAACAGCAACATAGCCAAATATTTTAAAGAGAACTTACATTTTAAAGAGAACTTATACATATTATTCCAGCTACACTTATTTAATCCACCTTTTTGGAATGAATGTAAATGGCTATAGCAGTTGTCATTGAGCCCTTTTCTGACTAATAAAGCAATGTCTTTTGATAAGCCAGCAAAAAACTTTACTAAAAACATTTATGTTGAAAATGCAAAGCTAAGGATATTGGGTAAACAAACACTGTAAACTTAATTACTCAGCACACTCACTATTTGACAAAAATTCATGTCACCCTCTTATATTGTACACTATTCATATTTTCTTAGTATTGCTTAAAATGTCTTGCAGCAAATTAGAGGAAGAAGCACTCTTTTTATGGATCTTACAATTTAGAAATGTTTCATACAGAGACCAGTGAAAGAGAGTTTCTTTTTTCTTTTCTTTCTTTTTTTTTTTTCAAATTAATTCAGCAATATTAATTTTTCTTCCTTACAAATTTTCTTGTGATTTTCCTGGACACTAGATCTCAAGTTTATTATCATTCCAATATTTGAAAAAAGTCTGCTTCCCTGAGTTGCCGTGTCATCCACATCTTAAGAAAAAGAAAGGCCACTTGGAATCTACATTTTCCAAGATCTGTCTCCCTATAAGATTGCCTAGTTCAGGATAAGAAAGGTGACATAACCACAGATATAGATATGATTAAAAGAATGATAAAAAGATATCTCATACAACTCTAGATCAACATATTTTTAAAACAGAGGAAATGGATGCTTTTCTGGCAAACTGTACATTATGAAAATTGAAATAAGAAGTAGAAAACTTGGTAGAACAATTACTATTGGAGAATTTGGGAAAGTGATTAAAGATCTATAATTGAAAAATGCTCCAGGCCCATACAGTTTCATGATTAGTTCTGTCTATTGACTCTTTTAAAGTATGTTATTTATAATATTTCAATCAATAGACTATACTCCCCAATTTATGAAGTCAGAATAAGTTGAACATGAAAATCAAATAAAGATAGCCACAAAAAGGAAAACTTCAGGACAGTTTTACTCATGAATATAAAACAGAAATCATAAAATAGCAAGTAAAATTGAGCAATATCCCTAGAGAATGACATACAGTGCTGATCAAGTAAGAGTTATCCCAGGAATGCAGACAATTCAGTAATAGGAAATGTATCAATAAAATTAACAGCTTAACGGAGAAGAGTCATGAACTATCAATAGATGCTGACAAGGTACTTAATAGAATTTGCAGAATTTCTATTCTAATAAAATATAAATTAAATTGTAATAGATGGTAACCACTTAATGAGTTTCTTTACCAAACCCATAGCTTATATTATGCTGAAGCCATTTTTTTTTTTAAATCAGGAATTTAATATTGTCTTGGAGGCTCTAGTGAAGGAAATAAAAAAGAAAAATAATTGATATAAACAATGGAAAAGAAAAGGTAAAACGATCCTTTTTTTTGCTGATAATATGATTATATGCCAATAAATGAAAAGATTAATAATTTTTTTTAAGTTGAGATAATTTTCTAAGAAGGCAGGATACAGAAATCAAGAGCTGTCTCTGTACTGATAATAAGCACCTAACAATTTATATGCACTTTTTGGGGGAATTACAATAAATCTCAATATTTCATATGGAAAAATGAATGCCTGAGACCTGAGAATGTAGACAAAAGTATAAAAAAAAATGTCATATCAGATACCAGAATATAACATGAAATCATTCTAATGAAATTAACATAGTATTGGTAAAGGAATGGATAAATACATCAATGGAACAGAATAGAAAATTCAGAAATAAGCCTCTGTGTATATGAGCTTTTTCATTTATGGAAAAGGTGGACTCTCAAACCATAGGGGAAAAGAGTATTTTATTTTAAAAGAATTCTTGCACAATTGGCTTTTAATCTGGAAGAAAGTAAAGTTGGACCAACAGAACAAATCTATCTGAAAATAAATTCCAGGTGGATTTAAGACTTAACTTTTAAAAATAACAAAATTCTTAAAATCAAAGGAAACTATATGTACAATTTAGGAGCTAGAAGAGATTAACTTCACTAACACAGGACACTCAAAAGCCATTAAAAACAAAATATTTGACTACTATAACGTACATCTTTTGAATGGCAAAAGATGCCATCAACAAAGTGAATAGTTATTTGCAGAGCTGATCAGAGAGCAAATACTCTTGAAATCAGCAGGAGAAAAGATAACCCAATAGCAGAACATGGCAAATAATCTGAATAGACAGTTGTGAGAAGAGCAAACCTAAGAGACTGATGGACCTATCAAAAAATGTTTACCATAAGTAGTTGGGAAGGCAGATTAAATTTATAATGAGATAACACTATTCAAGAGTGCTTTTTGCTGTTAGAACAAAGGATGTTCTTATACATTGTTGGTGAAAACATAAATTTTGGAAAGCAATTCAAATTGCTTTTTTGAAAAGCAATCTGTTAGCTCGGTTGGGTAGAGCACGGTGTTATAACACCAAGGTGAAGGGTTTGGATCCCCACACCAGCAGGCTGCCGAAAACAAAAATTAAAAAAAAAAAAAAAGGCTATGTGGTAATATCTATTAAAACTTAAAATATCTGTGCAAGTTTGGAGAATCTTCTGCTTAGAAGTAAAAGCCCAGATACATAAAGGACAGATGAACATGGACATTTATTGTAAAATTGTTCCCAATGGAAAAAAAAACCAAAAACACTAGAATCAGAGTAAATGCCCATCACTAGAGAAGTTGGGGGAAGGAAAGAAGTATAATATATCTATTCCACTGAATGTTTATATAGCCATTAAGGTAGACAAATTAAAGATATGCTAGTGGACTTGAATGGAATTCCACAATGTTTTCTTCAGTGAAAAAAACAAGATAGATATTAAGTGTGTAAAATATCACCCCATTTTTGTAAAACTAACAAAATGTCTGCAGGTATTTGAATGATAAACATGTATTCATATATGTTTATATACAATTTTATATGCATAGAAAAAAGTATAGGAGAGTATGCATTGAGTTGGGGGGAAATGGGTGATGCAGGTAGATTACGGAGGAGTCAGAGGGAGAGGGAAAAGGAAAGCCAAAAAGAAAAATATGTAAGTGACTGAACCAAGTATGATATCTCAAATGTGTGAGTAAGTAAAGAAATTTGGGTGGAGGCAGGGGAAAGCTAGAATTCTACTAATTTGTGGGGATGTTTGTGGTGTATTGTTAAGTGAAAAGGGCAAATTGCATAATAATGTACATGATTCTATTTTTAAAAAAAATTAAAACCCCTATTATGTATATATGCACGCGTGTGTTTATATGAACAAAGAGAAAATTGTGGAAGGATATACAACAAGGTGTTAACATTGGTTACCTTGATGGAGAAGAATATAAGTGGTTGTTTAATTTATATATCTTTGTATTGTTTTACGTAACAACATATATTGATTTTGTAATTTGACAAACATAAAATAAAGGGGGAAAACATTTCAAAATGCATGAAGCTTTAAAATATTTCTATTTTCTGACAATATGGCACCCTGGCCTGGTCTACTGCCTTTCCTTCAGCTCAACCCTGGCAATATCACCAGAGAAAAAGGAAAACATGTATCTAAAAGAGTGAAAAGAAAGACTGAGAAACGCCAAGTTGAGAGAGCTCTTTGGTTTTTATGTATTTGGAAATAATTTTAGACTTACAAAAAAGTTTGTTAGCAAGACAGTTACAAAACAGAGTTCTCATATAGCCTTCACCCTGCTTCCCCTAACATTAACGTAATATAACCACAGTATAATTATCAAAGTAAGAGATTAACATCAACATGATAATCATAATTAAACTATAGCCCGTATTTGAATTTCACAGTTTTCCACAAATATTCTTTGTTTAGTCCAAGGTGCAGTCCAGGATCCCACGTTGTATTACTTGTTATTTCTCCTTAGTCTTCTCTAATCTGTAACAGTTCCTCAGTCTTTTCTCGTCTCCTATGACCCGGACACTTTTGAAGAATCCTCACCACCTATTTTGTGGAATATCCCTCAATTTTGGTTTGATCCAATGTTTTCTCTGATGCTATTGAGGTTATACATTAATGCAGTAATACCACAGAAGTGATATATCCTTCTCAGTACATCATATCAGAGGATACATGATGTCAATATCTTTTTTCCCCATCTTTATTAAGGTTTAATTGACAAAAATTATGTATATTTATGGTGTACAATGTGATGTTTTAATATGTGTAAACATTGTGAAATGATTAAATTAAGCTAATTAATATATCCATCACCTCACATATTTTTCTGTGTTAAGAACATTCAAGATCTAATCTCTTAGCAATTTTCAAGTGTACAGTACATTATGATTAACTAAAGTCACCAAGCTATGCAGTACATCTCTAGAACTTACTCATCCTGTCTAATTGAAACTTTGTACCCCATAAGCAACATCTCCCCATTCCCTCCCTCCCCAGCCCCTAACAATCACCATTCCACTCTCTGTTTCTGTGAGTTCAACTTTTTTAGATTCCACATATAAGTAAGGTTATGCAGTATTTGTCTTTCTGTGCCTGGCTTATTTCACAAAACATAATGTCCTCCAGGTTCATCCATGTTGTCACAGATGACAGGATTTCCTTTTTTTTAAGGCTAAACAGTATTCCATTGTATCTATACATCACATTTTTTTCACCTCTTCATCTGTTGATGGATATTTAAAGTTGATTCCACATCTTGGCTGTTGTGAATAAAGCTGCAGTGAACATGGGAGTGCAGATATCTCTTCGATATACTGATCTTATTTTCTTTGGATATATACCCAGCAGTGGGACCGCTGGATTGTATAGCTCTATTTTTAATTTTTTGAGGAAATTCCATACTGTTTTCCATAATGGCTGTATTAATTTACATTCCCAGAACAGTGTACAAGGATTCCCTTTCCTCCACATCTTAGCCAACACTTATCTTCTGTCTTTTTGATAACAGCCATTCTAACAGGTGCGAGGTGATAGCTCATTGTGGTTTTAATTCACATGTCCCTGGTGATTAATAATGTTGATCATTTTTTCATATACTTGTTGGCCATTTGTATGTCATCTTTAGAGAAATGTCTATTCAGGTCCTTTGCCCTTTTTTAATCAAGGTGTTTTCTTCCTATTATGTCTTACTGGTGGTGTTAACCTTGATCACTTGGTTAAGGTACTCACTACCAGGTTTCTCCACTGTAAACTTACTATTTCTTCCCTTGTAGTTAATAAATATCTTGGGCAAGATACATTACAGAGACAGAGTTTAAAAAAAAAACAACATATATATATGTTGGTCGGACCTAGCACCAGAGATGGTTTGATTCGCTCTGGCAGAGGATTCAGGCATCCCCAGTAATTCTGATGTTCAGCTGAGGGTGGGCCTCAGATCTGGATCACACTCCTAATTATAAGCCCTGTAACAAAGATCCTCTTCACAGAAGAATAGTAATGAGAAACACTGAATTATGAAATTTGTGGACACTGGTCTTTAGCTTTGGTAACCTAGGTATGTTGGTTACCAAGTGCTTCCTAACAAATTATAAACTTAATAGCTTAAAGCAACATACATTTGTTATCTCACTGTGTCTGTGAATCAGGATTCCAGGCATGGCTTAGCTGGATCCTCTTGTTCGGGGTCTTCCAAAGCTGCAGTCAAGGTTTTGGCCAGAGCAGTGGTCTCATCTGATCCTCAACTAGGGAAGGATCTGCTTCCAAGAACACATGGTTGTTGGCAGAATTCAGTTCCTTGTGACCTGTTGGAATGAGGGCCTCAGTTTCTTGCTAGCTGTGGGCCAGAGGCCACTCTCAGTTCCTTGCCATGTGGGCTTCTCCAAAGCACAGCCCACAATGTAGCAGCTTGCTTCAAATGAGTCTGCTACCAATACAGAAGTTACAATCTTATATACCATCATCATGGAAATGACATCTCATCACCTTTATTGTATACTATCAGTCAAAAGCAAGTCACAGGTCCCATCCACACTGAAGGAGAAGGAATTACATACGTATTTAATTTCCCTTTCCAGACTACCAGGCAGCAGAGATCATTTGGGGGCCATCTTAGAGCCTGTTCACCTCATCAGGAAAACACTTATTTGAAATTAGGGAGGACTGAGGAAGGCAATTATGTTGCAACAGAGATCTAAGTAAGCCAAGTATCTACTAACAGCTGGGCACCATAACTGCAAAGATTCTGGATGTGCTTGCTGGGGTTCTCCACTAAACACAAGTAACCACTTATCCACAAGTACATACTTGAGTATGTACTATACTTGAGTGCTTACTATGAACCAGGCACTGTTCTAGGCACTGGGGATACAGTAGCAAACAGCAAGGAAACATTGTTAATTGTCAAGGAGCAAAAAATAAACAGGGCAAGGTGATATGAAATAATAGGAGGGGAGTGAAATTTTAGCTACAGTAGCCAGGAAAGGCCTCAAGAGTGATCTGTACCTAAAGACCTGAAGGACTTGAGGGATCTAATAATGCCTCCCCCAAAAGTATTCCCGGCAGAGGGACCAGCAAAGCAAAGACCCTAAGACAGGTAATGTGCCTGGAATGTTGGAGACCAGCAAGGAAGGTGTATTCTTGCTGAATAACGAATTATCCCAAGATTTAGTGCCTAGAGCAATCAACATCACCTCACATGCTGTCTGTATGTCAGGAATTCGGGAACTGCCGTAGGAGCCGGACTCCCCGCTGCCTGCGACTTCTTCCCCTCATTCCGCCTTTCCGAGTCTTCGTCCACGCAGTCCCTCTTTCCAGATTGCAGCACACCTCAGCCTCAATGCCATACGCAGTTATCAAAAGGAACCCCTGCTTCCTGCCCTGGCCTCTCTAGTTTCCCCCACCCGGAAGCCGAATCTAACCTGTCCAGCACCTCCAAACTAGTAGCGCCGATGTGCCCCAACACCCACCAAAAAGAACCGGTTGCAGAGCGCCACTGTCTTTCTTGAGTGGCACCATGATGGTCGAGAGGAGATGCGGGCAGCTGTTTGCTGCAGAAGTGTCGACGCTCGAGCTGGGATCCCCACAGAAAGGACGACAGCAGGTCAGTATTGTGTATCCTACCCAAAACAGCCAAAAACTCTGGGCCAGAAAAAGACAGTTTGGAGCATTGTAGGAACCATCTTTGAAAATGGCCCCCAGAGAGAAACAGCTGTGTCCTGAGCAGCTGCCTCCCCTCACCAAGTAGACCCTCCTACTCAGTATCCTGTACCTTAGAGGGGCACCTTCCGCAGGTAGGGACACACTACTGGAAAGTCACAGCTGAGCGTGCACAGCAGCCTTGGGTGCTGGAGCAGGGGCCCGTGCGACTGTAGGAGATGTCCTTTGAGGAAACCGTGGCAATGCATGAGCTTGCGGAGGGATGGGACTCAGCGGTTGGATGTGAGTGACTGAAAACGGGAAGCAGGTGGCAGGAGTCTGGGGTTTATGAACTGGGAGAGGGAATCGGTCTCTGCGATGCAGTGATAAAAGAGGTTAAAGAGTGATTGGACGCAGATATGTGGTTTTCATTGACTCAGGAGTCCAGGGAAGGCTGTGATTGGTATGGTTGTCCTAGTGGGTCAGGTTTCTGGGATCTTGGAATTTGGGAGACTGGTAGTCTCTGGGAGATGGTATGAGGGCGGGAGTGAGAGGATTGTAATGGAAGCCTAAGGTGTCAGTGATAAGAGGCCAAAGGGTTGGTGATTAGGTGACATTTTTTATTGTGGTAAAATACATATGTGTGTGTGTGTGTGTATACACGTAAAGCTCACCATTTTAAGCCACTTTAAAGGGTACAATTCAGTGCCATTTAGTACATTCACAATGTCATGCAACCATCATTTCAATCAAGTTCCAGAAAAATTTATCACCCCAAAAAGAGACCCTCTATACGTTAAACAGTCACTTTCCATTTTCCCATCCCCTCCTCCAGCTCCTGGCACCCACTAATCTGTTCTCTGTCTCTATAGATTTGCCTATTCTGGATATTTCATATAAATGGAATCATGCGTTATATGGCTTCTTAGCATGTTTTCAAAGTTCACCCATGTTGTAGTGTGTCTCCTTTTAATGGTTGAATAATATTCCATTGTATGGATAATACCACATTTTGTTATCCACTCATCAGCTGATGGACATTTGAGTTGTTTCCACTTTTATCTATTGTGAATATAGCTGCTATGAACATTCTTGCACAAGTTTATGTTTGACCACCTGTTTTTGGTTCTTATACACCTAGAAGTGGAATTGCTATATCATATGGTAATTCTGTGTTAACTTATTGAGGAATGATCATACCTGTTTTCCACAGTGGCTATACTATTTTATATTCCAACCAGCAATGCGCAAGAGCTCCAATTTCTTCACATCCTTCCCAACGTTTTTTTTAATTCTTTCTTTCTTTCTTTCTTCTTTCTTTCTTTCTTTCTTTCTTTCTTTCTTTCTTTCTTTCTTTCTTTCTTTCTTTCTTTCTTTCTTTCCTTCCTT